CATGCGACAGTTGAATACCTCAAATTTGGTGGGAAGAACTATACGGCTTGGGAACATCAAATCAACACCACACTCGAGTTCGTTTTTCGCCGCGAGGACTTCCTTTCAAAGTCTACAAACTGGCTAACTATCCATGATGAGCAAGAACCATCGATTGTCATCCTACTCCAATCGACCCTTGACCAAAACTTGCTAGCTACGGTCGCATCGACTCGTAAACCCAAGGATATCTTTGATAAACTTGAAGCAAGCTGCAAGCGAAACGATTGCCAAATCAAGCTTGAATTGATCTCACAACTCAACGACTTCTATCATTACGAACGTCAGAACTCCAATGACGAGCTCATTTCCCAATTCCAGAGGCTATATTTCGAAATCAAACAGAAGAAGATATCCACTGAAGAATTTTTTGGTCTGATGCTGCAATCGATTGTCAAGCCACCTGTGGATGCCAATGAAAATTCCTTCCGGAACAATCTCAACCACCGATTGAACACTTCCGCGACCATTCCCACATTGGACAAGGTCTGTCAACAGATCACACAGGTTGAGGGCGAGCTCCATACTGGCACGTCTGACAACCCTATTCTCGTTAACCGATTAACACATGCGGGGGGTAACACGCGAAGAAACAACAAACCCGATCAACACAAGGCCTCCACCTTTGGGAACAAGGCTTTGGCGAACGCGCTAGCTTTTAAAGGCACACAGCCGACCAGCACTCAAATGGCCGATAAGGGTTCGGAATGCAATTATTGCAAGATCAAAGGCCACTGGGCATCCACCTGCCGACGTCTAGCGAGGGATCTCCAAGAAGGCCGCCTTGATATCAGCCAACTTGCGACACCACCGGTTAATCCCACGGCATCCTCATCTAAACCTGGTCCAGTGCGCGTGAGGGCAATCGACACCTCCGCTCCCAACGACGATACTGTATTAATTGACTCAGGGGCCTCGGCTTGTGTAAGCGGGAACTCTCCCTTCTTCACTTTTGAACGGCGGTTGACTAACCCCGTGCCTGTCCTCCTTGCGTCACGCAAATCGGCAATGACTCTCACCGGCATTGGTAGTCTGAAGATCCCGACTCCTAGTGGGACCATCCGGATCAAGAACGTATACCATCATCCCTCAATACCATACGTTATCCTTTCACTCGGAATGCTCACCACCTACGGTTTACAGCCAGTGTTTGATAAGGATTGTACCATGTCACTAGTTCATAAACACCGTGTCTTTCGTACCAATTTCTCAAACTTCTGTTGGAACTTAGTCACTAAAAATGAAACTCCCTCGATATGCAATGAAATTGTTATTGCTTCGATGACAAACCAGCCTAGCATGGAGTCAATTAAATGGCACGAACGTTTTGGTCATGCAAACGACAAAGCAGTCCTTAAGTTCCTTGAACGTTTTGTGGGCCCCGAGTGCGTGAAGAACTGGAAGCCGTTCTTTTGTGAGAAGTGTGTTATCTCGAAGAATACTAGCAAACGTTTCCTACACATGTCGTCCATCCCAAAGGACAACATCCTCGACCTTGTCGTATCCGACGTCATGGGACCATTTGATGAGGACATACATGGGAATCAGTTTGCGCTCACATTGAGAGACCACGCATCTATGTATACGTTAATCACCCCGATGAAACAAAAGTCGGATGTCACAGAACGCCTACGGGTTTGGTTTGATACAATCAAAACCAGAGTTGGTCGTTTCCCTCGTTTCCTTAGATGCGACAATGGTGGTGAATTTGTATCCAAGAAGCTCAAGACAATGCTGGAAGCACGTGGAATTACGCTGGCGCATTCCTCCCCTTACCACCCAGAGGAGAACGGAGAAGCAGAACGTGTGAATCGAACCATCAACGACATGGCGCGCGTCATGATGATCAACTCGTCACTTCCCCAGAAATTTTGGAGCTATGCACAACAGGTTGCTGTCTACCTCCACAATAGACTACCACACTCCCGCATTTTCCCCAAAACTCCCATTGAGATTCTTTATGGCAAAGAACCTGTTCCAGAGTACATCTTTCCATTTGGAGCCAGAGCACTAGTCTTCAAGCCAGTCGACAAGCGAGACGACAAGTGGGACACACGTGCCGATGAATGTTTCCTTGTGGGTTACCCGCCATCAGAGAAGGGTTGGGTGTTCTACAACGATCATTTGAAAACGTTCATCCAATCGACAAATGCGGTGTTTCCAGCTTTTCAACAACTTCCTGTAGCCGAAATCCCCACAACTAAGAACGACATTACTTTCTTGCTAAATAACTTGATCCTGGGGCAAGAGAAGACTGACGAAGAGGCAGTGATTCAACAGAAAGCCATTGAGTCATTACAATGTCGATCCGACGTGGAGATCCCCGACCATATTCACCAGGCATTGAAAGGACCACAAGCTGAAAATTGGCGAGCGGCAGCAGAGCAAGAACTCTCACAACTTGAAAAGTTAGACGTGTGGGAAGTGGTTGAGCCGGTGAAGGGAAGGAAAGTGATCGGGGCAAGATGGGTGTTTGCCTTGAAACGAGATGTTGTTGGTGCAATCATTCTTTTCAAGGCGCGATATGTCGCTCGCGGTTTCAATCAACGACCTGGGATCGATTGTCGGGATACATACGCGCCAACGGCGTCTCTGGCCACATTGCGACTACTGATCTCAATTGCCATACAATTTGGCTATACCTTGAACTCTTTTGATGTGAGCTCCGCATATCTCTATAGTCCCATCGAGGAAGAAGTCTATGTCAAGCCCCCAACCGAACTCCGACCCGTCTTGAAAGGGAAAGTACTTAGACTAAAGAAAGCTCTATACGGGACAAAGCAAGCTGGACGATGCTGGTGGCTCCACTTCAAGCAGATATTGGCAAAATTAGATTTTGAAGCATCGGAGGTGGAATCTTCTCTATACGTCTATCGTCGAGAGGAGGTGGTCATCTTCATCTGGATGCACGTTGATGATGGGCTTGTAGTTAGTAATTCACAATCAGCCATTGATGAACTGCGAAAAGGACTAACCGAACACCTTGAAGTGAAATGGAAAGAACACGTCGATCAGATTGTTGGTATCAATGTCCATCAAAAGGCTTGTAATGCGTATTTGGAACAACATCTCCTGGCTAGGCAGGTAGTGACAAACTACCACAGACGGGTGGTTCATCAGAACACAACACTACCGGATTTGCTTTTGGAAACGTCCCACAACGATCCCGTTGAAGAAACAGCTTTCCGGTCGGTACTTGGTTCACTAATGTACCTTGCTTGTGGCACTCGACCGGACATTGCCTATGCCGTTAACATGCTAGCGAGGTACAGTAGTCGTCCCTCTCAAGATCACTGGATTGCTCTTGACCATCTGGTAGGATACATCAAAAGGAATCCACACAAGGCAATCACATTCCAACCCGGAAAGGAAGAAGTCCGCCTATACGTCGACGCGGGCTGGGGGGGTGAACACGAACGCTCAACAACCGGCTATCTACTTCAACACTGCGGAAACCCGATCACGTGGGGCTCCAAGAGACAAGACGTTGTGGCCATGTCCACATGTGCGGCAGAATATGTGGCACTATCAGTGGCCACACAAACACTCGCCAACATCAAGATTGTCCTTGATGATGTTTGTCCTGTGGCAAAGTATGAAATCCTGTGTGATAACCAAGCGGCCGTATTGGTTGCCACGGACAATGCTTCCAAAAAGAAGATAAAATATCTGCAACGAGCATTCTACTTTGTCAATGATTTTGTCAGGAAATACCAAGTTAAACTTTACTGGATTTCGAACCAGTTCCAACTGGCGGACATATTCACCAAGCGATTAGGGGCATCCAAACACCTTGCCAGCATCAAGGATCTTGCCATACAGGATATCCCTAACTCCGACTAGGACCACTGTTCCTAACATGTTTTCCTGATATTTTTTATTTTTTATTTTTTATTTTTTATTTTTTATTTTTTATTTTTTTCTTATCATTTTTATACTATTTAAACATCTTTATGCTAAATTTTTTTAATTTTTACTATTTTCCAATCTTTTTGAACCTATTTTATTCCTTTTCTCTATCTCTACATTTTTTTTCCGGATTTAGTTCTTCATGTTGAGGGGGGCTGTAAGGATTATGGGATTAGCAACATTGCGAACTATTTATATTTTTTTCTCATCTAGTTTTTTCTCATCTATGTTTTTTACTTTTCCAATTCTATCTATCACATTTCACAGATATATACATATCACAAATCATGTCACATAGTCAAACATATAAAGTTGTAACCGCGGCTGGCTATTCTAGTTTCCTCATCTTTCTTTTGGCACTCGAATAGTCCAGTCCGGAGCTTATAGCATAATCTCGTTTCTTTATAGGTTTGTCTTCTTCAATATGCAATTAATCTTTCTTTTGGCACTCGAATAGTCCAGTCCGGAGCTTATAGCATAATCTCGTTTCTTTATAGATTCCTCTCAGCCATTGAGATTTACAATCTTGTGGCCGGGAGGAGTCCTCCGGCCGCTGCTGTGGGGGTCTTTTGGCTCATTGACCCCCAAACCCTGGTTGGTTTGGGAGCATTAACTCCCAAAACCTGGTTGGTTTGGGAGCATTGACTCCCAAACCAACTGGGGGTTTTCTTTTTTTATAATAGGGGGTATCAAATATAACCAAATTCACCATTATTTAATTGACTGGTTTGAAAAAATCCACCCTTTTTTAAACATGTTGGTTCTTCATTTAACCCCATTTGGGGCCCATTGATGCAAAAAAAAAAAAAAAATTCAAAAAGTGACTGGTTTCTAATGGTGGATTTCTTATATTTGATACCCCCTAATATTTATTTTGGGGAGTTGACTCCCAAACCAGTCAATGTTTTTGGGGGTCTGACTAACATTTTTTGGGGAATCAGTCGGCTTGCCAGTTTTTGGGTGTGGTTTAACCAAGCCCTTTTTTCATGTTTTTTTTTTTGAAAGGTTTCTTTTTGAGAGGGAGGGATGCTGTCACATATGTTTGACAGCTTTTAGGCAGTCCAAGACTGTACATCAGTATATCAGACTGCAGCCAGTCAAACCAATCTGTCCAAATCACTGAGCCACATCTGACACCAAAGTCAAAAAAATGGGCAAGGAACACTAACAAACTTACACAAAGAGGTAATTCTTCACTACAAGATAGAGATAGGAAAGGGACAATGGCAGATATGCAAAAAAGCAAAAAAGAAAAAAAAGTGGATTAGAGATTTCAACATTAAAAGTAATTGAAC